AAAAAATAAAGTTGATAAAAAAGGGAATTCAGAGAAAATTTTTATCCCTAAAAATAAACTACAAGTTTATGAAAAAAAAATGGCTTCATGTGGGCCTTTTTAATTTTTTAATGTTAAATTATAATATTATCAAAATTTACATTGGTATTTTTAGAAATAATCATTACAGATAGATATAAGATTTTTTTTATTAAAAATGCTACATATTTTATAAGGACACTTAAAAAAAGAGTATTCCATGTAGCCCTCAAATAAACCCAACAATTTATTAAATGACCATGAAATAAAATTATGCTACTATTCTCCCGTAACATAAACTATGTGAATAATCATTGGGGAATTAATGAATTCCCGGGTCTTTTAATTAATAAACATGTTATTAAAAGATACATGTATATTTATTTTTTTAAAAATGAAAATAGGGGGAATTTGATTTATTCTTTTTTTGTTTTGCTAGTTTTTACCTGGCCAATTAATGTTTATAAGATGGTATCAACACCCATTTTTTCAATCGCCTTTGGGCAAAAAAATAATACATGTTATTTGGGTATTTGTATCAGTTTTACCATCATTGTACATGCTGGTAAACAATGTAATTTCACTTTATTTAATGCGAAAAAAAAATGTGATAAATAAAATGTGTATAAATTTCTTTCGGGATTAATTAATTTTGAACATAATCTGAAGCTTCCATTCTAGTGATTTACAGATGTACAATCTAACATTTACAAATTAAATTATAATTTTAAATTATAATTAAATTGACATGTAGTAAAAATAATCATGACTGAAAAATAATACTTGGCAAAATTAACAAAGATTTTTTTAAAAGCCCCAATACTTAAGAAAACTCTAACTTTAGAGTGTCCCGATAGTCTAAATTGGCCATATAATGATAAGATCTGTTAAAGCTTCTTTGGTGGGAAAAAATTTAATTTTAATTTTCTGTATAAAAAATAACATGAGAACCAGTATAAACACAGAAGAATTATTAATATATCCAAGAATTGTATTAAAAAATTCATGTTCAGTGTAATTCACATATGTACATATGTGTGAAAACCTTCTTCCTAAAATAAATATTATTAATAATTATTTTAATTTTTATGTGCGTACATGTTCTGTTCATAAAAGACCTTGTGTACATCTAAGGATTCCTGGCACACTACCCAGAATCAATTTCTACTGCCTTTTATAGTTCCATTGTTTATTGGAAATTTAATTCTGAGTTAGCTCCGCCCATTATTTAAAAAACCCCTCCCACTGGAACTGCTTTCTGGGACTGCTGGGACTGCTCTCTGGGACCGCTGGGGCTGCTGGGCCCTTGGGACTGTGTGGGACTGCTCTGGGACCGCTGTGGGACTGCTCTGGGACCGCTGTGGGTTTTTCCGTCCCCAAAGCAGTCCCCCGGGGCTCTCTGGGACTGCTTTGTGTCAGGTTGGGTCTGGTCGGTACTGTAATGTTCTTTTTTGGGGGGATAAAAATTTTCCCCCTCTTTCATTGTCAAATAGGATTTGCCAAACTTATACAAACTAAAAGTTGATTGATTGATTGTATATTGTTTAACGTCCCTCTCGGGAAATTTTTTACTCATATGGGCGCCACCACTTGCTGGTGGAGGGCTACAAATTTTGTCCTATGCTCGGCACTCAGGGCCTTTGAGCAGTGAGGGATCTTTTTCGTGCCAGCACCTACTGCGACACGGGGCCTCTGTTTATACGGTTCTCACAAAGGGGCCGGTCCTCAGTGGGATTCGAACACGCGACGTAAGGATTGACTCCTTACTTTGCGACTCTAAGCAGAATCTCTAACCACTGGCCACGCGGGCAACCTAAAAGTTGAAATGAAGGAAAAATTAATTTTAAATTTCTTATTAAAGAATATTTAAACCTTAATGTTGCATGGTTTTATTTCTAAAAACAAGTGGAATTATAATCATTCTTTAAGCAAACATTAAAAGGGGGAATATTAAAAAGAAATTTTTATCTACTTGGCAATTAAAGAATCTTTTTTTCAAACATAATTTTACCATTGAAAGACTACGTGAATCTCTTATTTCATACGACTTTTTGTATTTTTTTTTTTTGGTTACAGTAAATGTAAAAATTAGTTTCGCTGTAAAAAAAGATATCAAAGTTGTATATTGTGAAAAAACTATTAACAACTTTATTTCTTAATAAATTAAAGTTTATTCATACATTTAAAATTATGGATCAAATCTATTCGAACATATGCAGGAATTACTGAAGGGAGAACAATTATAAAATACAGCATATTTTACCTTTCACCTGCTATAAATTTTGTATCACTTTAAACGGGGTTTTTTTTCAATGGGGGTTAATTTTTTATAGGTCTAACATTAAAAAAATGCCCCCCCCAGGACTCTTTTTCTACAAAAAATGATTTTTTTTTTCTACGGGTGGGGATCATTTTTTTGTCGTTGAAAAATGCCCCCCGGTATTATTCGATGGGGGTCATTATTCGTCTTTACCCCTTCCACTCACATCACAGCACGTTTCTTTTGGTGGATGGGTGGGTTTGTCAAAATCTGGACAGATTTAACAAAAAAAGACATTGCCAGTTTCATATGTGACATGAAATTTTCTTTTTCATAGATTTTAGCCTGGAAAATACCGGTAGTGTTCAACTATAGAAATGTAAGCCAAGAAATTGATATTATTTCTGAATTTCATTGAAGATACAATTACAGTCATATTATTTTAATATACACACTGTGTTATTTCTATAACGTTTCCCTCTAACACCTGGGTTTATATGTAAACCAAAAAATTTACATTGAATAGCATATTAACATATGTGAATTTCCTTGAAGATAGTAAAAATAGCTGCATAATTTAATAAACACATGATGTCATTTATATACAATTTTGCTCATATTATTGAGTTTATATATATAACATTCCTTTGTAGGTAGCCCACAGGGATAGTATTTTTAACCTTCAGCCCTGATGGTTCTGTTTTAGCCATTGCATCATCCTACATGTACGAGAACGACGAACCAGTGTAACCAATAGAGGATGTGATCTATATTAGAAATGTCAGCGACCAGGAAACCAAGCCAAAGTCATGATGTCAAGGTCATGAAACCAAGGTCATGTTATATAAAGTGTTCAGTTGGAGAGATCATAGGAATATTACATTAACACTTAATAATGACTCAGTGACTTTATAATATTACCAGGACAATAGCTTAAATTTTATATATATATATATATATATATATATATATATATATATATATATATATATATATATATATATATATACAGTGGACCTTCAGATATCCGGACGCCAGATATCCGGACGCTTCACCATCTGGACGATTTTTCTCGGGAACGGATTTTTTTAACGTAATTTTGACTCATTTATCCGGAATTCCGCGTTCCGTATCCGGACGGCTCTTTTTTACTACAAAATGTATTTTTACGTTATAATTTGATTCATGTATCCGGACGGTAAATTTTAATTAATTTGTACTTCCACTCTTGTCAACATTCACGCCTGAACTGAGTGATAATTGTTATCAAAACACTGGGCGGATTGATTGTTTTTACAAGACGATCACCTGTGACCTGTTATGAATGACTTACGATGATAAGTCCACAGATTAAACATGCTAAGTGGATATATCATAATATACGAGAGATAGATACACAAATGAAAATAAACAATTAACTGTGTTGAAAACAGAAAACAATTTTCTATTCAGTTATTTGTTATCTGCGAGATATTTATAATTTTAGTACAGAGCTGGTTTTAAATATTTTTCTATTTATAGACGGGACGACATAGTTTCATAATCTCGTTGTCTACACATGTGCAAATTGTGTAATTTTCATCTGTAGATTGGTGGGCAGTTATCGTCAAAAAATAAAAAAACAAAACCTAACACATTCAATCAAATTGAATAATTTTAGACAATCAATGATTTCGCTTGGGAAGATTACTGCGTGAATTTTTAGTATGTCAGATTTAGCGTGGATGAGTAACTATTCAAATTAAAATTAGACTCGAACTCGATATTGACGGCTCGCTTGGGTGTAATCAAAGCTGCAAAAGAGAGAATTTGCTTGGCTATGTTCATCAATTTGTAGGAAGTAGAAAGTAAAAATAAGCTTGGTAATTAAAAATCTGCCCATATAAGCAGCGTTAACTTATATCCAATGTTTGTCATTCTGCTCTCCAGCTACAACCTTGTCTACACCGCCGGCAAAGAGAGCGCGAGTCGGCATTTCCGCCAGCTTAAAGAAAAAAATCTGCCAACGCAAAGTAGATCTTCCACGTTCTTCATTGCAAGATTTAAGGCAGTTTGTTATTGACGAGGAGAAAATTACCATTTTAAAATAATAAATTATTATTTCTATACGATAGTATTTATCTTTCTTTATATATATAAGAGTTACAATACAAATACAGTATACCTGGAAGAGAAATCAATAGAATTCAGATATCCGGACGCTTCACTTATCCGGACAATTTGCTTGGGAACCAAAGCGTCCGGATAAATCAGGCTCCACTGTATATATATATATATATATATATATATATATATATATATATATATATCAATGTGTATTCGTACATTAATCAGGGGGAAAGTAGTTTTCTTTCGAAAAATGAAGCATTGTAAAGGATACTTCTACCTCTCTTTTTAAATGGATGACTTCATTCGGTAACGAATGAAATTTTATAAGATTAACCCAAACGTTATACTCTAACAATTAATTTTACCACTTCAATGTGCATCATTTAAACTGTTTTCACTGTGATTCAATATACTTAAGGGAATATAGTGACACTTTTTTTAACATTTATGACAAAATAGGAAAACGTATTTAAAATTAAAATGTTATGTAGACCAAAATGAAGATTTTGATAACAAGTACCGATAATATGTTTCTGTGTGTGTATAGTTTGATGATTTATGTAAGACATAATTTCAGATAACTGTTCGAAATCAAGTCAACTGGTATCTTTTTTTACATTCCAAATTGAAACACTTTGATAAGTCCTTCCCAGTACCCCACCCACAGTGTAGATTTGTATAAAGACAGTGAGCATGGACGGTTCTCGTCATTGTCTGTCAGTAAGAACTTCAAAAACTTCCCGTTAGGACTCAGTAGATGGATTTGTTTGTTGTAAACGTCAGTAACAAGGATGTTACAGAGGGAGTCACAAACTACATCAAATGGAAAAAAGTTTTCTGTCAGGTTCTGTCCACGGTAGATAAATTTTTTATGACCAGAGAAAGACATAGTCACTAATTCACCTGTAGTTTTACTTGTAAAGTTCACAACACAGATATCACAGTTTCTGTTCTGTTCGACTCTGTATGGCATCGTAAACAGTCTGGTCTGACAGTCCTCCTGGTACTCATACTCATGAATGACATCACCTGTCACTGTGATGTGTCTAAGCAGACGCTTGCTGTTTGATTGTAATTCGTATCGATCGGATATTGTGTCTATTAAGGTGACCAGTAGTCCACCGTCCACTGACTGACAGATTCCTAATGGTCTCAATGAATCCATACTGATGACTTTAGAGACAGATCCCGATGGTGTCAAATAGTTGATGGAATCATTATTAAAATCAATCAAATAAATATCACTATTATCAGTCACACATATGTCGTTAGGGATAATATTAAATCTATTTTCTTCAATGCCTTGCTGATTGACTTTTCCTAAGTATTTTGAAATCAGTTCATGTAAGTAACATTGGTTTTCACTAACTGTCGCCATCGAAAATATCACTTTTTCTCCATATCGAAATGATTTAATTAGAGCTACACCAAAGTCATCCAAGTCCAATGTATTTCCAACCAAAGAATCAAGAAAGTCGTCATTAATTTTCCCTCTAGTGAACCTCACTGAATGCTCACAATTTGTCATTTGAACCTCTATTTCAGACAATAGTTTTGTCAGTTCTCTGTGGTTGTCAATCAAGCTGTAATCCGACATGGTGCCGTTGTTCTCCTCCAAATAATCAACTGTGTCAACAATTCCTCTCTTCTTCTTCTCTAACCGATTCTTCTCACATTTTACTTGTTCATTCTTTTTAATCAAGTTGTCTTTCATTATGTTTTCAAGGCGCTGTTTAATTTCTGTAAGCCTGTCCATTATCTCATCATAATGCTTCTGTAGCGTTTTCATCTCAGAATCACACAGTTGTTTATTTTCTGTGATCCGTTGTGACAACTTCTCTAGCTTTTCGTCAACCTTATGTAGATCTTCTTTCTTAATCTTTTTCAGAAATGTAAGCAAACCTCTTCTCCTAAGGGTGGCAGCTGTGGATATAGTTTTCCAGTCATGATTTCTATGATCTGTTTTGGCGCATGTTTCACAAATAAATTCATCACAGTCCTCACACATCATATCAATAAGTAATTCGTGGGTTTTACACATTTCTACATGTTCCTGTGGTGAGCCTAATGGATATTTTTTTGGTGTATTGGCAGCCATGTTTTTCAGGTTTAGCCTTTACCTGAATGATCTTGTTTTAGCATGAATGTTAGATAATCATATAGGTCGCATGGAATGTGAAGTTGGACTTTAAATTTATTCGACACCTAGATGTGCAATGAAATGTTAAAGGTGCATACACACAGATTTGAAATTATTATTTATTCAAATTTTCTGTCTAATATCACGACTTATATACAAGTATTGCAATAGCATTTCACAAGAAAATATAATAAAAATCTTATTTTATCTCCAAATTATTGAAACTTCGAATTTCTGGTCGGGTTTGATTGACACGTCCATGCACTTTTAGAAACTATATTTTTATTCTTAATACTTAAGAAAAGTGGCAATTTTATTGTATATTAATGAAAAATATTAAAACTTACTTAATAATCTAGAAAATTCAGAGTAAAAATTTTCGAAAGGAGAAAGCGCTCACGGTATAAACATACTATTGTCATGCAGCCCAGCTCAGTGGTGTGTGCAGACTACAACAATTGAACACACCCGGTGAATCGTAAGCATTAACAATAACAGAGCTCGTGCCCTGTTTACAAAAACATTTTATGTTTCACGGGTGTATCAAATTTGTTAAACTCTGTACATAACACTGAGCACGGACTGAGGATAATAGTGGAGGGGTTTTACTTTCGAACATTTCTGATGAAATCGAGGATAAATACGGTTGAATCTCACATTAATGGTGAGACATGAATATCACTGTTACAACAGAATTTAACCCCACCTCCCTCCCCCACTTGTTTAATGCATTTCACACGTAAATGAAAAACATGGGGATAACGAACAGTATTTAAGATAAAAAAAAACCATAAAATAATACAAAATAGGAGCAGGGCAAACACCGGGACCGAACTCCAAAACATCAGAGGTGGGATCAGATGCCATGGAGGAGAGAGCATTCCCTGCTGCCCTGTCACACCCGCCGTTTGCTCCTTGTCATGATCGAGAAGTAACGGAAATAACGGACCGATGAAAACGGACTGAATCTCGTATCTTGTCATGACAACGGAAATGAATTGAAATAAATCCAAATTTTCAGTTTAAATTTGTTCTAATCTTTTCTGAAAAGACTTAAACTTGTTTTGATACTGCCCGTACCAATTGGCATGTATATTACAGTATATTCTGTTTACACAAAATAGTAATTTCAATAGGAAAATTTACAAAATCCTCGTGTTATTTCAAAAATGTTTAAGGTCAGACGAGACGTTCCTCAAAATCTGTTTTGTAATATCTTCGTAATACATGAAAAATATTCAAAGTTTTAATAACATTCTGATTTCTAAACCAGTTTCTAGACGTTTTTAAAAAATCCAAACACTTAAACATTTTGGAATTGGAAAATTATTTTTCTTCCCAAAAGGATTATATAAGAAAAACTAAAATTCCTGGTATGGTACCTCAATTTTTTGTGAGTAAACATGTTTAAAGAGCATTAATGCTTCAATGAAAAACTCTTAGAAAAATTTATCTATTATTAAGGAACGTCTCGTCTGTCATTAATATCGCCAAAGCAAACTCTTCTTTTATTACTTCACTTCAATTTTAAGGCTGAAATTCATACAACACCAAAAAGGGTGTCAGACCTGTTTCCCATTGCACTTATAGACATTGATATGAATCATTTAAGTTGAAAATGAAAAATTACTCATGGACTGTCATCTCAAGTAATGACACCGGACGGATTTTATCATAACAACGAGTCATTTTCAGTGTCTAACTTTACAGGTTTTTAACAACGGTACTGTCTATGAACTTAACGTGTTCCTGGCCGTGCCCACGCATGGGATCAAACTCACAACCCGAGATTGTTAGTCCGACATGCTACCGATTTAGCCTCTGGCTCCTGCACCATAGATGTATAAAATCCTAACTACTATTTAGGCATAGTGCATGCAAAACACAACATTATTTAATATAAATATTGATATGTTTAAAGCTATATATATGGCTTATCTGAGCTAAATATAACAAGAGGCCCACGTGCCTTATACGTCAACTGAGTATCATGTAACAACTTTCACACAATTGAATTTGGTTCGCTTTAAACTAGAGGCCATGAAATTTACAATTTTGAAAGAGTCACCATTGTTAATCATAATTATCACTTAGTTACTTAATATCCAGAGGTAGATCAGAGTAACGAAGAGAAAATGCACTTCCACTTTATAACCAGTTGTGCATCCCACCATACAGGAAACACTTGCTTTCTATGTTCAAGTTAAAATTTTCAGCGATTTTGAACTTAGATATCCCACCTTTTTATAGGTTAAATTGACTTAAAACTGTGTCTGATATTTTATCCGAGTTGGAAATAAATTGGTTATCATTTTAAATCTTGGATATCTATGAAAGAAAAGAAAAAGAAATACTATTTTAATTCTAGCTAGTCTTAACTTACCAAGAATACGCCATATATGACTTTAAATGCCAGAAGATCTTGTTATCTATACAGTCATGATAGTTGCGATAATAATGGTTTGGATGCTCTAAAAGTTTGGGAAAATAGAGAATGTATTTCAAAATTTGAAAGAAAGTTACATAAAAAACAAATGTTGGGTTATATGTATTAATTTGTAATAGATGCATTATTATTGAAGACAACTACTATTTTTCTTTCCATCCATATAGATCTAGAAATAATTTATGAAACAGATTGAGCGCAGGGTAGGAAATTAAGGGTAGGAAGTTGAAATTAAAGCGTGACAATTAATTTCCATGACCGAGGAAATATTGTCCTCGAATACAAAACAAAATAAATGATTCGGGGTGATTGTTATTTGCAGGTTAAATTTGGTAGCAACTTTCGGATATTTCTCGCATGCAAATAAAAGTTGGTTACAGTTTTCCATCTTTTCCACGAAAAGTAGAATAAATGAAAGTCTTTTTTAAATTCATTGTTTTTCATATTTTTTCAATATCCGATATTCAACTGGCCTATCTACTTTTAGTAACTATGGCTTCACTGTTCATTGAAATCAAAAACCGATACACAGAATTATGTAGTCTAATTCGTAACTTGTGTGCCAAGTTATATTGAAATCAGATCAAAACTGCATAATGTAAAGGAGTAGCATTTTGAAAAATTGTTTACAGATGGACAGATAGACAGTTTAGATGCACAAGCGTTATTGGACACCTTTCTTTGCATAATCTCTTCTGGCCTCTGATCAGTAAAGCTTACAATGTTTTCCAGACGTAGATATATGCTGTGGGACTGTACTAAACTTAGTCTGCTTAATGTGAGTTGTCAGACATTTACAACTACTGAAATAAAATAATAAACATATTTTTTAATAAGAGTGTGACACAAATAGTATAAACCATGAAGTTCTTAAATCAGGATTGTTAAAACACAGAAAATGGACAGATTACACAAGTAATGGCAGTATTTGTCCAGGTGACATCACTGAAGTTACTGTGCCATTATAAATTTAAACATAGGTAATCAGAGATTTCAGAGCTCACCTCAACGAATGTTGTCTTTAAGTAAGGCAAAGTCACACAATTAACCAACAAAAAGTGTCTTCCAAAAATGAAAATATTTTAAACAATTTTGATCTCATACTTTGAACAGACCTACATAAAAAATTTAAACTAGTTCTTCTTCATGAAAATGTAATTAAAATCCAGAATCTGAAGCAAATTTGAGAGTTTTCATCTCTTGATGCAACGTTTGTGCAAGTTTGGTTTATACAATGTTATGTAAGCCTTATAGTTTTTTGGTATTAGACTTGCATTCATAACTTTTACCTGGTCTATTATCTGAAAAATGCATGTGAATTCAGCATCCAAGCAAGTCCATTAGTTTCCCTAAGATTTTCTCCATGCAAGTTTGCTCATTATAGGGCTCATAGTTAATTGGAAATGAAACATGCATCAAAAACTAACATTTTTACTCATCCACAAAAAAATAGGTCAGATTCAGCATCTGAAGCAAGCCTGGTAGTATGCATCCTTATATGTATTATCCATGCAAGTTTGGTCATTAAAGAATCATAGATACTTGGAAATGAACATGCATTAACTTTAACCTATTCACTCAACGGGAAAATGTGGTCAATTCAGCATCCGAAGCAAGCCTGGTAGTATGCATCCTTGATGTATCATCCATGCAAGTTTGGTCAACATAGGTCTTATAGTTACTTGGAAATGAAACCTGCAACAAAAAATTTAATCTGTTTACTCAACTGGAAAAATAGGTCAGATTCAGCATCCGAAACAAGCCCGATAGTATGCATCCTTAGATGTATCATCCATGCAAGTTTGGTCAACATAGGTCTTATAGTTACTTGGAAATGAGACCTGCACCAAAAACTTTAACCTGTTCACTCAACCGGAAAAGTAGGTCAGATACAGCATCCGAAGCAAGCCCAATAGTATGCATCCTTAGATGTATCATCCATGCAAGTTTGGTCAACATAGGTCTTATAGTTACTTGGAAATGTAACCTGCACCAAAAACTTTAACCTGTTCACTCAACCGGAAAATGTAGGTCAGATTCAGCATCCGAAGCAAGCCCGATAGTATGCATCCTTAGATGCATCATCCATGCAAGTTTGGTAAACATAGGGCTTATAGTTCCTTGGAAATGACACCTACACCAAAAACTGCACCAAAAATTTTAACCTGCTCCAAAAACATTAACCTGGTCACTCCTTTGCTGAAATTGCAGCATCTGAAACTTTGAATGGTGCAATGAAACACACTTGAACCATCCTCCATGCATGTCTAATCCATATAGGACATAGAAGTAGTTAAAAAGAAAACTGCTCCAAAAAACTTAACCTGGGACGCCAAGCCGACACCCACACCGACGCCGACGGTATTACATAAGCTCCCCCAAATTCGTTGAGGTGAGCTAAAAAATTTCACAAGAAATGGCAGTCAGTTATCCTGGTATCAATGTCACTGTGTATTTTTAGTAAAGTGTACATGTAATATTCCCGTGATCTCTCCCTCTGAACACATTATAC